GATTCGGTCACCGAGTTACCCTTTTTATCATAGAGGTTAACTGCCACCCCATATGAGTTAACACAAATAGACTCTAAATTAATTGCATTTCTATTTTTCAACCTAGATTTCCTTTAGTCAGTCTTGCTCTATAGCTTTTCATTCCATTATTTGTCCTTAAGACTTTTACTTTTTCCTTTACAGCCATATTTTAATGCTAAATATGAGAGTTTCTAGTTCTCATCTTCTTCCTGGTGACCAGTAAGCAAGCTTTCTTGTTGCTGACTCAGATTATCCTTAATAAATGTATTTAAGACTGATTCACATTCTAGTGTGTAGGTGAATTGTTGGAGGTTTTTCCTCCAAAAAATATAAACTATCTTCAAGCTGCTTTTAAGATTCTATTAATTTTTTTTAATTAGATACATATAATGGCTATGTTCAGGAGCTCTGGTAGCATAGTGCCTAAGGCACTTGACTGCTAACCAGAAGGCTGGCGGTTCAAACCCACCAGCCACTCCTCGGAAGGAAGGTTGGGCAATCCTACTTCCGTAGTGAAACTGCCTCGGAAACCCAAGGAGGGGTCGCTATGAGTCGGGGCCGACTCGACGGCAAATAACAACAAACAACAATGGCTATGTTCACGCAGTAGCACTCTTTCTCCATGATCAAACCCATTGATAAGTTACTATTCAAATATTAAAAAAAAAAAAACTATCCAATGCTTTGTTAAGCACAAGAAAATTAAGAATAGGCAACTTTTGATCCTCAACATTCCTTTCAAATCAAAATGCAGTAACTTCACGTTTGTTACCATGGATTTCAAAAGAATAATCTACATTTCTAAAACTATTTATATAGGAAGACAAAGAGAACATAATTAAGCTGAAGTCTTTCCAAATCATTGTCTTTGGAGTCCAAGCAGCAGAACCATGATATAGGTGAAAGAGACCATGGCCAGGTTCCAGTATATGTGACCCAGGTTCCAATGTATGTGATTCAAGGTGAAGAACAAAAAATTGAAACGTGGATACATTAACTTCACTTGTATAAAGGATGCTAACCAGGGAGCTTCCATCTTTAGACACTAAACAAAGGCAATTGAGCTAACATGGGAGCAGCAATGATATGGTTATTTATAAAACAGTACTTTCTAACACCTAGCAAGAGAGGCTAAGATCACCCATTCTCATACCCCTTTGAGTACAAGATAGCCTGCTCAATTGTTTGGAATGGTTCTTGATGGAAAATATTCTGGAAGGCAGAGAGATCTCTTTCTCTACTCAAAAGCCATCTTTTTCCCTAGGAGCTCAGAACTTTGAATTGAATCTCATTTTTTATTCTCAGTGTGATTCAAGCCCAGTTATAGAGTTACAGACTTTACACCTTTCATAGCCTAACTCTGCCTAAGGCATTTTTGACTGCTAACCAGAAGGCTGGTGGTTCAAACCCACCAGCCACTCCTCAGAAGGAAGATTGAGCAATCTACTTCCATAGAGATACTGCCTCAGAAAGCCAAAGAGGGGTCGCTGAGTCGGATCTGACTCGATGGCAGTGAGTTTGGTTTTTTTGTAGAATCACTCATCAGTTAGGAACTCACCCTGTCCAGACTTCATATCAAAATTCAGCAAGATTCCTAACATGGGGTTTCTTCTCTTATTGTATCTTCTGATATACCAAACATTCATAATATTATTTACTATTATAGTATGCAATAAACTGTAATCTAAGGGCAGGAAAGAAGGACTAATGGAAACCAAGAACCCAGAAAGGAAGCTAAAAGAATACTGTTACATTGAGAGAATTGCAACTAATGTTACAAAATGTGTATAAATTATCCAGTGGAAAATTTGTTCTGTAAACTTTCACCCAAACCACAACTGATAATAATAAATTTAATCTAAGAAACAACTCTAGTAAAATAAGGCCTGTAAGAGAAAATATTTTTGATGTTTGGTCATGCAGCACAGGGCAAATAGCTCAGCTTTTCTAAGCTATCTCTAGTTCCTTTTGAGGAAAAAAATATTAAAATTTTCTGAGAAATAAACTGTTGTTATGTGCCACTAAGCTGATTGTGACTCAGCGACCCTATAAGGTAGAGTATAACTGTCCCATAGGGTTTCTTAGGCTGTGACCCTAACAGGAACAGATTGATAGGTCTTTTCTCATGCACAGAACTCCTGGTGGGCTCAAACCAAAGCTTCCTACCAGTTCATATGACTGCCCCACCGAGGGTCTGCATTTCTACCCCAAATACACTGAATCAGAACCTACATTTTAAAGACTTATACAAATCATCTGGGGATCTTGTTAAACTGTAGATTGATTCAGTATATCTGGGGTGGAAAGCTAAACTCTCAGCAGGGGGTCGAACCACAATGCGCCTGTTTAACTCTGGTTCCAGCATTCCGCCTTTCAGTTAGCAGCTGAACACTTAACCATTGTGCCAAACGGGATCCTCAGAAATAAACATTAAATTCTATTTGTGAAAGTGAAAAGGTATCTTTTCATTCAAAGTTTGTTGGAAAAATGGAAATACTAAGTATTCAATCACACACTTTTTTTTTTGATATTTCAGCTTCCGTACTGACTTGACATCCAGAGAAGTCTTCTTTCAATTTTCTAACAGTAATACAAAAGCAGTTGTTAAAATTTTAAAGGGCAAAAAATATATATTTTTTAAAGGGCAAAATGCTTCTAAAAACAAGTATGTTACAATTCCTAACTTTCCCCAATTCTAAATATTATTACTACATGGAAGGGTCTTCCATATTTTGTTTGGGTACACTCTTTTTAAGAGGGGTTTGAGCTTCCAAGTCATCCTCTCCAGTCCTTAGACTTGAAAGTAAGCTATTTGCTTCTGTTTAGATGTGCTGGATGGGGCACATTTCTGCACTTGACTGGTTGGCTTTTGAGAGATTCCTCCTATGGAAAGGTACTGTTCCCTATCACATTGCCAGTGGTATGCTCTTAACTGTGGTAAAAAATTTTAAATTGAAGATGTCCTTATCATCAAAGAGAACATAAACTTCAAGTGTCTATGATTAAGTTTTTCAGAGCTGTTTTAAAACAACTTTAAATACCATATTCAGAAATAACCGACTCAATGGCAAAGGAAAAGTAATTAGGGGTCGTTCCTTACATTTTAAAATGAAGCCAATACTATTTAAAAAAAAAAAAAAAAGGTAAATTCCAACTACTTCAAATAGACTTCAATATTAACTGAACTGAAGATGCTAGCTAGCTGTTAGCCAAATTAGCAAGTTAAATTAAGTACACCAAAATGGATGAAAATGACTTTTATTTTGCATTGCCCAGCTACTCAAAGTGTAAACATTACCACTTTTTAAAATTTCACTTATTCTGTATGAATTTATGAAGTGTAAAGTTGTAAGATGCCCCCTGTATGTGTCCTTGTTAGCAATCCCTGTGATTTATTAAAAGCTATAGGCAGCCAATTTAGTACACGAGGAGGTCCCAGGCCTAGCCATACATAGTTGGTAAACCAAAACCAAACCCACTGCTATAGAGTGGATTCTTATAGTGACACCCTATAAGACAGAGTGTGCCTGGCCCATAGGGTCTCCAAGGCTATAAATCTTTACGAAGGAGATTGCCTCATCTTTCATCGGCAGAACAGCTGGTGAGTTCGAACTGCTGACCTTTTGGTTAGCAGCCAAATGCTTTAACCAGTGCACCACCAAAGATCCTGAAGTGGGTAACCCAGTGAGAATTAAGACTTTTAAGCCTCTTAAAACTAATGTGATTCAAATAATCCAAAGCAAACAAATCAGAAAACCTGGTGAAAATGCTCCAATTACAGCCTCCATGGCAACCCAAATCTAACCAATGACTCAGATGGACGATTAGAATAAACGACACCGTTTTATTGAACTACATCTATAAAGTCCCATAAATTATCTTTGGTCCAGAAACCCAGGAGTTACTTAGCACCTTCCTCTTGCACGTTTTAATATTCTCTATATACATTTATCAACAGTTCTTATCCCAAGTCCACGGTCTTCATCTATATATTGTCTAAACAAGATCCTGGGTGCCTCTTGGTGACCACCCCTCCCAAGCTGATCTCTGTGGAGAGGGTCGAGACCGCGTGGTAAGTCATCCAAAGGTGGAAGGAAGCATCTTGCTTTTCTTTACGTATTTATTCGAGAGGCAGCAATGGCCGCAGCCAGAGTTGGATGAGGCTGGAGGGAGAGGGGTGTGCTGGACTGTGAGCTGCGGCCACGGAGTGGGGAGTGGGGGGAGCAGCCATGCTCCTACAGCTTGGCCCGTGGGACCCAGAAAATGACCAGTCCCTCCCCCGAGCTGCACCCTAGACCCCTCCCCCTCCTTCCAGACCTCTCCTGGGCGCGCCTAATGGGCAGCAAGCGGACCCCGACCTCTTGCCGCCCGCCTTCTTCCACAACCCCCTCCGGCCGCCAGGGGCGGCCCGGCTAAGCCTTAGGCCTGACTGGGACCCCGACCCGACCCCTCCGGCCGCGCCACTCCCCTTCGTGTAACGCACCTGCGGCCCCGCCCCCGGCCAAACGCCAAGGCGGCGGCGGCGGACTGGCAAGGCCCGGCTGCTCGGCCCCCGAGGCACAGTCACCTTCCCCCGCCATTCCGCCCACCCCCCTTGCTCAGCCACAAGCAGCCACCGCGCTCCTCAGCCGCCTGGAAATCTAAAGGGCTCGGTCTCCGGCAGCACGACCAAATGGCTGAACCTCCCTGGCTGGCTGCGCAGCCCGCCCATTGGTCCCTTCCCCCCCCGCCGCCGCCACCGTGGGCTGTTGCCCGGAGACCCTCGGCGGTGATTGGCTCAGGCTGCTGCCGCTCGTCCTCTTGGCCGCAGATCCCGCCTCCACGACGATCAGGTTAGTGTGCGCTGCGGGCGCTGGGGGCTCGAGAACCGAGCGGAGCTGGTTGAGCCTTCAAAGTCCTAAAACGCGCGGCCGTGGGTTCGGGGTTTATTGATTGAATTCCGCCGGCGCGGGAGCCTCTGCAGAGAGAGCAAGCGAGAGATGGACATGGACAAACGGATTCATTTAGAGCTGCGGAACAGGACGCCCTCTGATGTGAGCATTTGCCAAAAATATCTGTCGGTCCATTCTCCTACTTTGTGTGTGTGTTGGGAGGAGGCACTGTTTTTTTTTTTGGGGGGGGGGGCGCCCAGAAGGTGTGGGTTTAGAGGTCGGACTGCAAATGAATTGCAAGGTTGGGGGTTGCAATGCCATCCGAGCTTGTTCCGGCTGCTGCTGCCGCTGCCCTTGGTGTGTGACTACCTGTGCGTGTGCTCCATCCCGCGTGTGCGCGTCTGAGTGTGCGAGTGTGGGTGCGAGTGTGCGTGCGAGTGTGCACCCATCGGGGGCCAGCGGGCGCACGCGTTTGAGTCGGAGAGAATGAGGGAGAATTACCCTCTGAGCTCGCTGCTCCCGTGACTCTGTCGGGGGGAAAGATTAACGAGGGAGGGGGAGGACAGGGGCTGCCTCCTGGGTTTAACAACAAAAATAAAGGGGTTCGATATTTTATAAATTTATCTCTCCTTCCGCGCCCCCCCCGCGCTTTCCCCCTCCCTTTCTCTCTCTTACACACAATAAGTTTTGGGCTTCGCGAGTCCTGTTTAGTTTCTGATAAATGTGGGCCGAGGCCCCCGGGGAGAACGCGTGGGGAGGGGGCTGCAGTGGAGTTGGGAACGGCTTGAGTTTAAAGTGCGTCTTCATTTCTTTGCAGTGATGAGGCGAGAGACGGGGGAGCCATATTTGTAACTTTGTAGTGTTCGTGAACGCGCCCTTTCTCTCCCTCCCTCCCTCCCTTTCTCTGCCTCCCTTCCTTTCCTCCTCTTTCTCCCTCACTCTTTCCACCCCACCTTCGGGCCAGATGCTGATGTTTCTTCCCCTCCTTCGGAAGGGAGGATAAATTAGAAGGCGGGGGGAGGGATTTTTCGAACGTGCACAGATAATCCCCGCGCCTCCCCACCTCAAGCGATCGCTATTGCAAGTTATCGAAAGGCTATGTCCCGGTCCCCCCTCGCCCCAGCTCTTCCGGCCTCCCTAAGATGCCAGCTTCGGAGCCTCGCCTCCCCCCACAACACGAACCCCCTGGCCTGTCTTTCTCTGGGGTGGGCTCTTTGGTAGCTGTTCGCGCCAGGTTCATAAATGGGCATGGGAAACTTTGTCAGGACGCGAGCTGCCCAGAGCTGGTAATGTGATGGTGGGTATTGGATGGGTCCAGATTCATGCGGGCATGGAAAACACGCAGCTCCGGAACGGGAGTTTGCCTTGTCTTAGCCGTTATCGATTGGGCAGCAGCGGGAGTCCGGCCGAAGGAAACTTACGTGGATGGGAAGGGGAGGCTTTGGCAAAAGCCCACCCCCAAGCAGAGGGGAAGGTGAGGGTGGGTTACTTGCACACTCGTTTTTATTTGTCTCTGCTTTAAAACGGGTTTTATGCGAGTTGGCAGCTCAGCGGAGGAGACCTCTAGGCCTGGGGCGAAGATGCTGGCCGACAGCCCTACGGGGAGATCTGAGGCGCGCTGGTTGGCGGGGAGGACCCCCTTCAGCCTTGGCGGCCCGGTTTGCGCAGAGTTGGGAATTTGGGTAGCACAGCGCGCTGACCTGTCGCCCCTCCAACCTGTTAAAACCTGAATCCCTGGTGGAGGCTGGCCTTGCTTCCCCTTTTCCCTAGTTCCTCCCCCAAACGTGTGTGACTTTTCAAAACAAGAGCGTTTTTGTGCCGGCCCCTCTTCAAGTCAAAACGCAGCTGTGGACTGGAGACGTGCGAGTGCCTTATGGCGCGCAGGGCTGGGGGGGGGTGGCCGCCGGAGGGGAGGGGGCGGCCGCAGGAGAAGGCAGGAGTTTACGCCAACAAATAGCCGACGGTTTTTCTTTCTCTGGCCAGTACCATCCCAGTTTGGACCCGGAGCCGGAGGATTTGGGGCAGGGTGTGGTGATGGGGGAGGGGGCCGGAGGCCACGGTCTTCCCGCGTACTTTCCGGAAGCCCCCTGTGTGGAGGGGGAAGGGCGCCAAGTGGGGGGCCGGGGTCGTGGATGCTCGAAGTGGAGGGGCAGTTCGTTGGTCAAACCCTTAAAACATTGCTGACCAACTGGGAACAGGATCTAAAGCGGGTCGAACCAGCTCTTTAAACTTCACCGACTGTGTGTGTGTGTGTGTATGTGTGTGTGTGTTGGGGGAGGGGAGCGCGACGCTCCGAACTGAGAGATTTCTCACGCTTCGCCCCCTCGCCTTCTAGTTTCTGTGCCCACACGCCTGCCCCCGGCCTTAAGACGGGGTAGGGCGCAAATGGGGGTGGGGGGGGCACTTTCTGCATATTTGAGGAGTAAGGGGGAAAAAGCTACCTAATGAGGGACAAAAGACGTGGGGGAGGAGGAACTATTTTCTTTTGAAACGTTCTTAATGCAAATAATAGCTCCGGGAGAGCGCCCCCTGCACCCCTCCCCGCCGCGCTGCCCCCGGGGCCCACACACACCCACCTTCGGAGCCTCTCCCAACTCTGTTCCGGGGGCTGGAGGCCACGCCGCGACGCCGAACTAGGACGAGCAGCCATGTTTTCCCGGGTCTCTCGCGGCCCGCCCCGCCCCTCCCCCACGGCGCGGCGGACGCGGAGCGCGGGGCTCGGAATGCGGGCGCTGGCTCCATGCGGTGGGGCGCCCGGGCGGCTTGGACGCCGTGCGCGGGGGCTGGGGCGCGGTCGCGTTGCCGCGGTCCCGGGACTGCCCTTGCGGCTTCCCGAGCTGGTACCGAGCTCAGGGTGTTGTATTTATTATTATTACTTTTAAAATATTTTAATAATCAGGCCCGCCCGGGACTGAGCCCGAGGGGTGCGAGGCATTATTGGGGGCGGGGAAGGCCGCCAAGGCCTAGCGCGCCTGTGGCACGACTGCCGGGCGCTGGGCTGCCATTTTGTCACCGTGGATGTTGTCGCTGTGGGGCGGGCGGGGTGGGGGAGCGGAGGCTTGCGCCATTGCCCCGACGGCCCTGGGCACGGAGGCAGCGGGGGAAGGTGGCTCAGGGGGACCCCAAGTCATTCTCGGGACCCCGACTGTGGCCATCTCTTAATGTCTGCGGCCTAAGTGTTCGCCGGAGTGTCGCGGCGGCGGTTGCATTGGGAGGGCGATAGTCCTTCCTGCAAAGGCTCCCCCCTTTCGCGTTCTTTACTTCCCCCACCCTTACTCTCGCCAGTCATCGCTTTTCCTCCCGCGGGCGTTTCAGACGAATTTCTATATCTTAGCTACGCCTTAAATTAAGACGAAGTGATCACTCTAGTTGTTCTTTCCGCGGAAATAAAATGGTGAGGAGAAATTAAACGAGGTTTATTTTTCGGGAGGGAGGTCGCGCACGCGACTCGGGCGGTCCTGACTGAAGCCAAGGACAGGAGCAGTTTACCCGGCAAGGAAGAGTTGTTGCTTTGGGGAAGCGCCCCAGGGCTGGGCTCTCCTGGAAGGTAGGTCTTGCACCGTGTTTCAGGTGGATGTTTTAGCGCCCCGCGGGCTGCTAAGGCTAGCTTTCACAAACTGCCCCCATCCTTTGCCCACTCTTCCGCGTTTATTTTTGCCCCGGGGAAGTCAGCTACCTTAGTAAATGTGATCCTAAACTGAATGAGAATAAAATTTGCTTTTAATAAAAGTAAATAATGTTTCTCTGCTGACCCACTCCCTCTTTCTTTTGGCTGTGGCGCCAGGAAAGGTATCGCTGATGCTGGGACTCTTAAAAAGCTATCGGTGCTGGTTAAGCACCTCACTGTTTGAACTCTGATGTCTGCGTGGAGACTGGCTCTCATTGCAGTACCGGCAAGGGCTGCCTAGGAATCCTAGCCAGGTTTAACTTTGACCTTTGGACTACATCTCATGATGTTTTCCAGACTAACTTAACTGCCTAATTGGGTTCAAGTAGCCTGATATTAACTCTGATTTATTCAGGCCAACCAGGCATCCATAGGCAGAAAATTGAGCTTGTCCAACTCGGTATAGTCATGGTCAGTTGTGTGTCTTTACTGGATTGCGGCTGTTAGTTTTGAGTCTGGGGGTTTCCATTATGAAACTGGACTCTCTAATCACACTGACCACACAACTAAATTCCGCCCCCCCACCCACCCATGTTAACGGAGGCAGGTTAATTTAATCTATCTCTTTGAACCTTGGATCCCTCACCTGTAAATTGGGAACAGTAATCCCATTTAATCAGTAAGTGGCAAAACTAGTTTGATCTGGCCCTCAGTAGATGCACAATATATGGCAGTGTTAAAGAAATGGGATGGTGTGAGGCGTAGCTTTGAACCTTTCCATGGTTTAAAATACAAACAGCAACAAGAAAAATAATAACTAATGTTTACATAGCACCCATATTGTGTCAGGCACAGTTTAAAGTGGATTACACATACCACCTAATTTAATCCCCATAACTAGCCTATGAGTTAGGTACTATTAATATGCTCATATTGCACATAAGGAAATTAAGGCATAGAGATGTTACCACATAATTGGCGAGTGGCAGAACTAGGATTTAAATCTAGACAGCAGTCTACCTACGCTTAACCTCTATTGTCTCTCTTGAAAACTCCCTTTTGAGTAAAATACACGGAGGAAGACCTTTTTTCCTCTCCGGTTTATGAGAGTTCCCCATCATTAAAATAAAACTCATGCCACCAAGTCTGATCCAACTCAAAGCGACCCCTCCTTGGTTTTCCGAGGCAGTATGACTACCAAAGTAGATTGCACAGTCTTCCTTCGGAGGAGTGGCTGATGGTTTGAACCACCAGCCTTCTGATTATGCCTTAGGCACTATGCCACCAGAGCTCCCTTCCTGTTATTGGAAGTATTCAGATGAAGACTGCATTGCCTCCTAGTTGGAGATAGTTTGTGTATTTTGGAGGTAGAGTTCAGGACAAACAAGTTCTTTAGATTGTCATTTTAGGGGTAAGCTACCCATTTTTTGAGTTTTGTTTAGCATGTCACATCTAGACTGCAGCAAATCTGGCCGTTTACTTGTTGGGGGAACACTTGTCATATTTTGGTAAAAAGAGGCAAGCCACTCTTAGAAGTAGCTTGTATGGAATCTTG